GAAGTGATGTAAATCAAATCCTGTTCATTCATAACTGGGGACACTATTTACAAACACCAGAGTGAACAGACGATCGCTCCAGTGTTTGTCCTGCACAGAGGATCGGAACATATCAATCATATGTTACGATCCTCCGCCGCTCGGCCATGCACATGGGGGCTCAGCTTCTCCTCTGGATCCCCACTGCTCTCCCGGGCAGAGGCAGCGGGGGATCCGAGGAGAAGTAAAAGAAGCACTTCAGCCGCGGGGCAGTGGAGGAGGGAGCCGCTGTCACAGAACTAAGGCCGAGCGGTGAGGAGAGAGGCGCCGGCTGTCAGATCCTGGACTTTTGTTTACATTGCTTCTGCAGGCTGTTGAGGTTTTACTAAAAGTGATTCAGGTGGCTATAAAGTCACTCAATCACTGTTTTAGGCTGCAGGTGATGCAGTGAATGAAGCTGGACGTGTCAAGCTTTTCGTCACTTCTGGTTTCATCACCGTTATTCCCAGCCAGGGTAGAAACTAATCAAGCACAATTTGAGCTTATTATATTCAATGGAGTGCAAAGGGAACATTAGGGATCCTTAAAGAGAACCTATCACTTCCACTGTGCTATCACATTGTTAGACTTCTATGTGATAGCAATAAAGTTAGGTAAAAAAGTAATAAAAATAGAGTTAAATAAAATCAATTAAACAAAAATGTCCCTGTCCCCATGTACAGGCACATATAAACATAAATCCATGTCGCCAGAGCCAGGTCCCAGCTGCAACCACTGCAACTCTGGTAGTTCTTGTGAAAATGCCAAGTATCGGCACTGGTATCTGAACATCACTAGTTTAAAGTAATCTTCAGGCCTAAAATGTGCATTTTAATGTATGCAAAAATGAAGAAAAGTTCTGGCAGCAAAACCCGACAATATATTTTAAGGAGAACTATGAGGTGAGTGCTTTTCACTCACCTCATATTTCTAGCCGACCTGTGACAATGAAACTGTCACAGGTCGGCTCAGTAGATCTGGAAGTGAGCGAACACATGCCGGTGTTCGCTCACTTCTCGATCCTGTCACAGCTCTCTGCCGTGACAGGGGAGGGACTGGATTCCCCCCTCCCCGCTCCTCCAGCGCTGACTGGCGGAACGGATGGGGGAGGGGGAAGGGGGCTCTGCCTCTAGATAGGCAGAGCCAGCTGGGCGGATCCAGACATAATTGTCGGGATCCGCTTCAGCTGCGGCATCTAAGTATACCGCGAGCTGTAGCTTGCGGTATACTGAGCTTAGGGTGACGGGAGGACGCTAGTTTGTGTCCTCCCGTTACCCCAAGGAGAACTATGGGGAAAAGCCCTAACCCCATAGTTCTCCTTTAAAGCCCACCCCCATATTGTGCTCCGAAATCAGAAAGGCATTCACCCTCTTAAGTACCTCCCCATTGCAGGAAGGTAGTTCAACTTTACAAGTATCTCCTCTGGTTATCATTTATAATGACTTTCTAATCTCCCTATTAATCCCCTGGCTGTGATGCTAATCCAATTAATTCAGTTTTATTAGTATGTTTTACCTGTCCAAAGAATCTTATTTCTGTCCATCCAGATTTTCACAGACCTTGGGCAGGAGACCTTGTTTCCCTCTGCTGCGTATCTCTCTGTCACTCTGCTCTGCCCTATCAGCACGTTCCTTGCTAGTACATGAGCACTGCAGCACATCTAAGTAGCTCCATTCTCCTTCTCCCAGACTGAACTCTGATGCCAAGTCAAATTTGTGTACTTACACTGGCTGCATTTAAGAAATTTAATGTAAAGGGTAATTCCACAGAGTATGGATATTACACTAGGAGCCACGGAGGGGAAGGAGCGATCGTGGACAGGTAAACAGGTAAGAGCAGCAGGGGGATTCCATTTTCCCAAATTGAGCTTCTTTGGGGGTCCCTAGGTGACATTAGGGGTATTAAAGACCCCTGATTTCTCCATAAAGAGGACCTGTTACTGGATATTTGATATCCAGCTTGTTAACCCCCTATGTGATAACGATAGAGTTAAGTGTTGAAATAAAAGTTTAAAAAAATTAAAGTTACAAAACAGATCGGTGTGTGGGCGGTGACAGCCAGCACTGTCACAGGAGGCTGAGCTCTCCTCCCGCACCGCCCAGCCTCCTGTGACAGCTGTCAGGATGGGGAGTGGGTACAAATTCTCAGCGATCAGTGATCGCTGAGTGTTTGTAAATAATTGAGGACAGAGTATGTGTACTATATCCTCAATTATGAATGAAGGGGAAGTGATCTACATCACTAAAAAGGTGAGGTGCACCTCTAAAAAAAATTCCCCCGCCCCCATGTACACAATCGAACATGCGCCATGTGTGCCTACGTGTGAAAGCGACGATTGCGCCCCACATGTTACATATAACCGCGAACATCGGAGCGTGAGCAATATTTCTAGGGAGCTCAATCACTGATAACACTAAACTGATGAGCGGTAAAAGCTTTTAAAGTGTCGCCTAGTGACAATTTTGGGTATGGTAGTTTTTTTGCGATTTTGCGGGCAGACGTAATCCATGTAAAGGCTTGACATGTTTGGTGTCTATTTACCCGACGTGACCCCGTCTTTTATATTTTTACCAAAACATTGGGTAATAATAAATGTTTTCATAACCTAGGGAAAAGTTTTTTTTTTAAATGTACTTTTTTCTATATATGGTAAAAAATAGAAACCCCCAGTTGTGATTAAATACCACCAAAAGAAAGCGCTATCTGTCCTCAAAAAATGGTATAAAATGAATTTCAGTACAGCGTTGCATGACGGAATAAATGTCAAAGTACCGCAGCGCTGAATACTGAAAAATGGTATGGACAGGAAGGGGGTTTAAGTCCCCGGTCTTCAAGTGGTTAAACCATAATTTGTTTTTCTTTTTATCTTTAACATTGCCAGGGGTACTTTAATTCCCAAGTTTTTTTTACTTTATACTTTTTAATTCCCTCATTTTCTAGGTATTTCTGAACCGCTAGCCCCTCTGTCACGTACCTTGGTGTGAGCCTGAAGTGATAAGGAAAGCCGCCCGTCGTTGCAACTCTCGTCTGAGCCCCACTGGAGATGAGACAGCAGTTGTACAGACAGAGAGAGGCAGGAGTGCCTGTGGCTGATGTAGATGCTGGACACACCAGTGATGGTGATGACGACTGGATGCCAGAGCCAGCTGGTAGTTGGTTGCAGATTGGGCAGCACTGGTGTGAAGAGCAGAAGCGAAGTCAGGAACAAGCCAGATCAGTTACAATGCGGGCGGCATGGTACAGAAGCAGGAGGCAAACGCGATGTCAGGAGCAGGCCAGGTCATACACTTGCGAGCAGAGTGGTACAAAATCAGGAGACGGAAGAATGGTCAGAGGACAAGCCGAGGTCATAAGGCAGACAGCAAGCAGCAGAGTCAGGAATCAAGCCACGTCAAACAGATATCAGAAACAGGATCATGAATGCAGGATACGGCTCATATTGTGCAGATGCAGAAGCCATTCTTAAATAGCCCGCCTGGCGCCAAGAACAGGCATGCACACACTACGGCGTGTGCATGGTGTTGGGCATGCACATCGTTTTCAAGCATGCACATTCCTATGTGCAATATTGCAACTGTAGCGCAAGAACACACATGCTTGTGCAGAGATCTTGTTTTAGCTATGGGACAGGATGTGGAAGGAAATCTCCCCATGGCACACAGAGGGCAAACAACCGACGGGTTTTGTTTAGCCTAAAATGGGCTTTTCAGGATGTTTGCATGCATTCCAGAGCAGGAAAAATAGGGCTTGCTGTAGTTTTTTTACATGCTCTGGAACTGAACGCTGCGGCGTGAACTAGAGCCCAAAATACCATTGGAATACATTGGACGCAGTTTTGAGCCGTTCTGTAACTGCTCTGCTCCTGCGCTTGGTGTGAACAAGGTCTAAATACATCACATTCTGGTGGAAGCCTGATGCCACCACATTCTGGTGGCAGCAGTAAGATCTGATGCTGCCACCATTCCATTCTGGTGGCAGCAGTAGGATCTGAGTGTCACCATCACATTCTAGGGGGATCCAAGACTTCTGCCATCCCATTCTGGTGGCAAAGGTGGGATCTGAGACTGTCACCATCACATTCCAGTGGGATCCAAGACTGCTGCTGTCACATTCTGGTGGCAGAGTTGGAACCTGAGACCTCCGTTATCACACTATTCAATAAATAAAGATATCATTATGACAAAATGACTATGTTTACTGTGTTCTGTCACAAGCACGCCATCCAAGTGCACAATGTTTATTCTAAAATGCTATAAGGTATGCACACTGCAACCCTGGACACAAGTGGAGGTGCAGGCCACTCAGAAAGATGCACATTACAAAATGGAAGGTAGTGTCCTATAAATCACAATATGCAGACAACAATAGAGCTCCAGCTGAGCGGGTATGCTAATGTAATAGAATGGATTCTAGGAAACCAGAGGCACGTACCAAACACAGCTGACATTACACACAACATGGTGACTGTGCACCTATCACCCCCACACACAGGGAACATCCTTCAGCTACATCCCCCCCCCAAAACGCACAATAAATTGGGTGGCGCCGTGACGTAAAAGGCGGGGTCCGCACGGATTGGTGTGTGAAGCTCTGCGGCGATTGGTTGCTACCATGGATGCCGCCCGGGCCTCTTTTCCCATCATCCCGGAGAAAGGAGGCAGTGGTTGGTCCTGTCACACGTCGTCTCCTCTCTAGGTTCGGGAGGACAGACAGTTGCTATGGCGATAGACGCGAGAGCCAATGGTTAGGACAGGTGTGATGTGACGTGCCGGGGGCCAGGCAAAGCACAGCGAGAAGGAGGGGGCGGTGTAAGGCCGGCACGATACGCCGGAGGCGGCCAGCCAGCGCTCCGTGGTGGGCAAGTCTCCGCCGGATACCGGGCCGCGCAGCCCGGCCTCTCTCCCATGCCTCGGGACGCCGCTGCAGAGGGGCGGCGGCGACGACGAAGGAGGAGGCGGAGGAGGAGTGCTGCGCTGTGAAGAGCCTTGCTGCATGCCGCCGGGGAGCGGAGGGGGACGATGCGCGAGTACAAGGTGGTGGTCTTAGGGAGCGGCGGGGTCGGCAAGTCGGCTCTGACCGTCCAGTTCGTGACGGGCACCTTCATCGAGAAGTACGACCCGACCATCGAAGACTTCTACCGCAAAGAGATCGAGGTGGACTCGTCCCCCTCCGTGCTGGAGATCCTGGACACGGCCGGCACCGAGCAGTTCGCTTCTATGCGGGACCTGTACATCAAGAACGGTCAGGGCTTCATCCTGGTCTACAGCATGGTCAACCAGCAGAGCTTCCAGGACATCAAGCCTATGAGGGACCAGATCATCCGCGTCAAAAGGCGAGAGGGGATGGGGGATCCGGGGTGCTGGGGGCTCATTGTGGCAGGGCGTTGTCAGCCAGGGGAGGGGGTGAGATGGTCCACGGGTGGGTGGCCATTGATTACTGTTCACATCGGTGGCTGGGATTGCATGGAAAGGGCCTAGAGAGGATCTGGCCTGGGGGGTGTATGCAGAGCTTCTTCTCATCAATGCCCCCTCTTGTCTTCTACATACACTCTGCCTTTGTATTCTCTGCACTTTGACGTTCTGTTTTATTGCCTGTTACTGTGCTGCTTTGAAGTCCCTACACTTCATTGGCTTGCTTTGGATCCATCCACATTAAAGTTGTTGATCCTTGGTTTGGGCCATTAGTTGGCCTGCGTTTACACTCAACACAGCGCTTTTGATGAGTTTGTACATGCCCATACAAGTGGGTTTTAAGGCTCTTTACAAGCAGATTTGTAGGCGTTTTAAGCTTCCAATGACCAATGGAAAGCAGTTCTTCAGGTGCTAAAATTAGTGTTTCCTGACGCACCCATTGAAATCTATGCACCAAAAAATGCCTATTTATGTTTAAAAAAAACGTGTAGGGCGACAGCGTACAAGTGTGAACAAGGGCCATCAGAAAGAATGGGATTCTGCATGTTTAATGTAGTCAGGTGTGGAGAAATCAGTGGAGAAAAGTGCGAATGGGGGCTTAGGGTTGGGCAGCGTCCTATAGAACTTTCTGATGGCCTTCGTAGTTCTACCATTAGCCCAGAACTTCTCTACTGCACACAGGTATTTAAAATCCGCCATATGCTGGGGTTTCTCCCAGATCCCTCCTGTTTGTTTTTAGCTGGCCACACATTGTTCTGGTTTTTCATTCAACCTGTGGGCTCAACTAAAAAAAAAATAGAACAGATTCCTCCATCAACGTATATGAGCATTGATCAAGAGGAATTCCCCACTGATTGCATTGTATTTTGACAGAGGCTGGTGGCTGCTGTCAGGCTACCTAAAAGGAACCTGCAGCTGATTGGCTGCCCGCTCTATTTGTTCAGATTTTCCAACCGGCTCCTTCGATCAGCTTATCGAGGCATGCCTGCCAGAATGGCACCCACTGTGCGAATTCTGGCCAGTTCATGGAGAACCGGCCGAAATTCACATAATATATGGCCACATTCATTCAGTAGTCATGTGTCATAGATGTTATGCCGTTCTAAGTTTATTGCTGGGCAATTTATGAAATTTGTAGGGCAGTGTAGGATTATTGCGGTTGTCATCAACCTACATACATGGGGTTGTATCTTTGTTGCTTTTAGATGATTTATTATAATGTTCTTTTTACATCTTTATTTTTATCATGAGCTTGCCTTTTTGTAGAATAATATTGGAGACCGCTGCTTTTATGTGAGGGAAAGAATGTGAAGTGTTGTCAAACAAGCAGCCTGGAATCATTGATGTATCTCTGAAGCCAGAACTCCATTTTTGTTTGTTTTAGATGAGGAGGAAATAGTAAAAACTCCAGTAGCCCCTTTCCATATCAGAGTCCCCCTTTGCATCAGTAGCCCCTTTCACATCAGTGCCCCCCTTTGCATCAGTAGCCCCTTTTCATATCAGTGCCCCCCTTTGCATCAGTAGCCCCTTTCCATATCAGAGTCACCCTTTGCATCAGTAGCCCCTTTCCATATCAGTGCCCCCCTTTGCATCAGTAGCCCCTTTTCATATCAGTGCCCCCCTTTGCATCAGTAGCCCCTTTCCATACCAGAGTCACCCTTTGCATCAGTAGCCCCTTT